GGGCAGCGGCCCGGGCCCCGGCGGCGCGGCGGGCAGGGCAGGCAGCTCCGCGCGCTTGAAGCGCTTGCGGCGCCGCAGGAAGCTGCCGTTGTCGAACATATCGGCGGCTGCCGGGTCGAGGGTCCAGTAGTTGCCCTTGCCCGGGTTGCCCGGCTCGCGGGGCACCTTGACGAAGCAGTCGTTGAGCGTTAGGTTGTGGCGGATGCTGTTCTGCCATTTGCGCGAGCTGTCGCGGTAGAAGGCAAAGCGCTCGGTGATGAAGCGGTAGATGGCGGCCAGCGTGAGGCGGCGGCCCGGGGCGTGCGCCAACGCCATGGCGATGAGCGCGATGTAAGAGTAGGGTGGCTTCCCGCGCTGCAGGGGCCGCCGCCGCCGCCGCCCAGGGCCCGGCGCGGACTCCGTCTCTCCGCGGCCCGCGGCCGCCTCCTCGGGCTCCGGCCTCGGCTCGGCTCCAGCGAGTGGCGACGGCGGCGGCCCCGACGGCGCGACCGAGGGCAGTGCTGGGAAGCCAGAGAAAGCGGCGGGAGGATCCATGTGGCTGTGCCCAGTAGTCGGGATTCGGCAGCCCCTGCCCGCGCGGCTCCGAGAGCAGGGACCGCTGACCCGCCTTATATGGACACCGGCCGCCACCACCAGGGGAGAGGGTTCGGACCTCAACCTCCGCTTCCCTGCTGACCAGCACCTCCCCCCTAATTTGCTCACTCTTCCAACCCCCTTCCTATGTTCACAGTACCTCGTCCCTCATTTTGCCCCTCCTTCAGCCTCGTCCCTTTGGGTTAGTCTTTCCCAAACCCAGCCTCATCCCATTCTGCCAGTCCCTACCCCCAGCCCCATCCACCTACTTGATCAGCCCCCTCCCCACTGGGCCAGCTCTAATCACTAGCACACGGTTTCAGCTCACTCTCCCAGCCTCTTCCCCATTTTGCTTCTCCCAGTTAAGTCCAGTCCCCTCCATCCTCCTTTCCCAGCCATCTCCCCGTCCTTCCATCTCCAGAGCTGACCCCAGCTGGGGCAGAGATGAGGACCACCCTCCCAGTAGTCTGAGACCTGTGGCTAGTCTGGGAGGCATCAGACCAAACTCAGGAATAAGGGAACTTTGGCGGAGGAAATGGAGAGGGTAGGGGGTGGGGAGGGAAGGGCGGAGTGCGGCCAGCTTTGCCCAGAGTAGGGTGTTTGGCAGCTCCATATCAGGGTCACCTTCTCCTCTCTTCCACTATCTCCCCAACACCCCTGCCCTGCCCAGGCCACTTGTGAACATTCTTTGAAAAAACAAAATTGTGAAAAGTGGTCTAACTAGCAGATTTGGAAACTAGAGCACAGACTACTTTACATGGAGAACCCCAGAAAATCCAGAATTTGGACTTGCCCTTCTGGCTGCCTCTTTGTCACACCCCTTCTGTTCTAGAAAGCTGTGCTCCCTTCCTCTCTGTCTCTGTCTCTCTCTCTCTCTGTCTCTCTCACACACACACACACACACCCACACACACACACACACACACATACACACGGAATATGCACAAAACATGACGTACAGCCTCCGGAGTGCCAAGGAGTAATTACCAGTATAGGACTGGGTCCTGAGACAGCTGCTTACTGATGCAGAAACACCACACTGACATCTCCTTGTGAATAAGGGGTCTTGGCAGTTTTTATTAAAAATCCACTCTGGGATGAATGTCTACTTTTGTGGATGAAGGGAAAACCTAACAGAGTCTAGGTCAGGTGGGGGTAAATTTTTTTAAATAAAGGAGTAGACCATGTTGCTCTGGGAAACACCACCTACTACCACTGTCCAGGGGCCATGCTCCCCTGAGACTATTTGAGGAAACCTCCAAAGTGACAGGAGAGACCCAGCACTGGCTTTGAGGGAGGGAAGGGTGGCCTTGTTAAAGGAGCCCTGTCTTCTGGACAGGATAGCCTGGAAGCCTCAGGCAAGATCTAGGGACTTGTGTGGAGCAGGACTGAGAGTATAGGAGGCAAGTGAGATGCCTAAGGTGCAAAATTTAAGGGGGCATTCACGCTCAGAGTAGAGCAAGTACAGGGTCAGCACTTCACAGCAAGTGCCTCCTTAAATTTTGGGACCTAGATGCCTAGCTTGCTTCACCCTAGTCCTGGCCATATTGTGGAGTGTCCCTGTGTTCAGAGGATAAAAGCAGGCCTGTGTCCTAGGGTTTCAAAATCCTTCAAAATCTCTCTGTCCTACTCTCCCGGCTCTCACCCACTGTATCTCATTCTCAGCTGATAATATAACAGCTACCATCTTATATGCAGTAAACACTTTATATGTATGCATTATCTCACTTAAGTCTCAACAACCCTATGAGGTAGGTACTATTATTATCCCCATTTTGCAGATGAGGAAACTAATGTTTTGAGAGGTTAAGAGACTTACCTAACCCATAGCCAGTAAGTTGCAGAGCTGGAATTAAACCTGGAGTTCAGAGCAGGGCACCACCACTCTTCTAAGAACACCATATTTTAAAGCTGAGACTTTAGAAATCATTTACTCTAGAGTTCTTCCAGCTCCCACAACTTCAGCTATAAAGGCTGATTCCTCACCTCTCTCTTGATCTCCAGGTCAGCGTATCCAAGTGCCCATGGGTCACTGCCACATGGATATCTCAAGGCATCTCAAACCCAGCATGACCTAAATGAAATTCATCTCTCCCTCCGCCCAGTGCACCCTCCTACCCCAACCTGCTCCCCTTTCTGCATTCCAAATTTCAGCAAATGGATCCCCATCTCTCCACAACCTAGATCAGAAATGCAGACTTCGTCTTGGGCTCCTCACTTCCACATCTGAGCAATCACCAAGTCCTGTCAACTCCACACTGATCCCAAATCCATCCCTCCTTCAGTTTTCATAGCCTCAGTTCACTCGACATAATTCACCGAGTACTTCTGTGCCAGGCCCTTTGCCAGTCTCCGGGTAAGACAGAGCTAAAGAGAATCACAACCTGGTGGAGAGCTGGACACACAATTACACACTATGAGAAAGGTGAGTAGAGGGGACTGGGGAAGCACGGAGGAAAGAGAATGACACTTGGAGTTCTAGAGACAACTCCCCACCCAACAGCAACAAAGAGTCAGCAGCTTATATACAAGCAGGCTCTGCCTCAGTATCCTCTCACCCTTCCCTCCGTGTGTTCTGCTGCCTGACTACAGACTGCACCAAACAAAGACAGTGCAATCACAACGAACAACTCACCAAAGAAGGCAACACAAGCAGCTGCAGCAGCAGGGAATCCAGCTCCAAGGGCTGAGTGACCTGGGCCAGTGACTCACTTGTGCCTCAGTTTTCTCACCTGCCAAATGGGGGTAATAATGCTCCCTCTCAGCATTGTTATGAGATTCCAATGAGGTTGTGTATAAAGGTATCTGGCCCAGCACTGGCACTTGGAAACTGTTGTTGTTAGTTGCCACTGAGTCAATTCCAACTCATGGCAGCCCCATGTATGCAGAGTAGTACTGCACGCCATAGGATTTTCAAGCCTATGATCTTTCAGAAGCAGATCACCAGGCCTGACTTCTGAGGTGCCTCTGCGTGGATCTGAACCACCAACCTTTTGGTTAGTAGTCCAGCACTTAACCATTTGCACCACCCAGGGATTCCGCTTTTGGTAATAGGGGCTATTTTTCTACTGCACAACTGGTATTTCCGGTATTAAACCAGGAGGAGAGGGAGAGTGGCTGGGCAAGAAAAGTGATCTCAGAGCCTGCATATTTTCAACCAGGGGCAGCATAATCCTGCACCCAGCCTCGGGTACACAACCAAAGCGGATGAGGTCTCAGCCACCGTCTCTCCCATCTTCCCTTTGGGGCCGAAGCCCCTCTGAAGTCCCCTACCACAGTCTCTGTCTCACCCCTTCAAGGAGTGGGGTGGGAGGAGTGGGGCTGACTAACCCCCATGACAGGCTGCAGTTTTCTTGTACATTCACTCTCCCGGTCCCTCTGTAGAGCCTGGACATAGTATATGTTCAATAAAAGACACTGAATGTGTGATTGGCTGCACTGATCCTGGGGAAGGTGGGGGCAGGGAGTTGGGCCAAAGGGGTGAGAACCCAGACTTTTCCAGTTCTCTGTGCCTGCTTGGCCCCCTCCATTGGGCCTGCTTCCCGGAGTTGAGCAGGCCAGAGTCAGGGGGCGACCCAGGGCTAATCCGTGTTTTCAGCGTGGCTGGGCGCTCTTTTCACAGGCCCTGGGCCGGACGTGATGTGGCTGAGCATCCGGGCATAAGATGGCTAGTGAAAGTGGCCCCTTTCTCATGGGCCTGGATTCCAGGCCGCCCGGCGTCTGAATGGAGCCCCGGGGGTGGGAGGAACACAGTGGCTGGGCTGGGCAGCCCTTTGTCTGACCATGCTGGGTGGATATTCAGGCTGGCAGGAGGGATTAATGGCCAGGGATTGGCCCTGGGGCCGGCCTTCCCATTGCCCTTTGGAGGCCAAAGGCCCAGGTCAGGGCATACAGAGTTGATGGCTCCCTAGATAGGAGTGGAAATTCCCACCCTTGTCCAAAGCTGTTAGCTTCAGCCCCCAAGGCTCCCTGCCCCCAACCCTGGCTCTGCAGAGGCACCACTAACCTAGACAGCCTTCAAGGCAAGCAGCAAAGGGTGGGGACCAGCACATCCCAACCACTCTGCCTGGGAGAGGGGGCTGAGGCTAAGAGTCCTTTCAGATCCCAGCCCCCAGATTCCCAGGCCCTCTAGGAGGGCCCCATGATTGGCCCTCCAGAGCTCTGGGGAGAAACAACTATGTTAATCCAACAAGGGCCTAAAAGGCCAGTCTGAGCTGTCAGCCAACTGCCATGAAACTCCTGAGGGATTCCTCCACCACAGCTGGTTTGAGACTACCCCAGAGTCATTTCTTCATAAAACCCTCCATCGTGGCATCCACAGATCACATAACCCAGAGGCTGTGGGAGGGGCTCAGGAACCAATGGAAATCCCAGAGACACACCCACATCCCCTGCCCCGCCCCACACTCAGGGGTTATGAGGGCTGCCGCAGGACCTCCTCCCTGTTACCACAAAACTAGCACCTGGAATAGGAGCTGCCCAGGATACCGCCATTCCTTAGGAGCCTGGGGCAGGCAGTTTCAGCCCAGCTGTGGGGGGTCCTGGGACCTTGCTGTGGCTGGTGAGGACTATTCTGACCAGGCTGCTCCTGAATTAGTCGTGAAAACAGCAGCCAGCCTTACCCAAAGGGCTGACTCCTGTGGGGCGCCCTCTGGGCCCAGAGCACCTGAGCCAGGCTCAGAGACAGGAACAAGTGCAGGCCTGACACTGGTGACAGCATCAGGGAATAACCCAGGAGGGGGAGGCCCCTCTGTGTGGCTCTTCATTCCTCAGGCCCCTTCATTCAGCACATCCTAGGGATGCTTACTCCTTGTGCAGCCTGCCTAGGTGCTGTGGTCACAGGAAGAGTCCGACTGTTCTCTGCCTTCACCATGCTCGGGAGGAGCAGCCAAGCAGACACTCCCATACTTGGCAGCCAGTGTGTGATGTGGGCAGGGTCAGGACTGCAGGAGAAGAGGGGCCCTTACTTGGCCTGGGGAAGTCAAGAAGACTTTCTGGAGGAGTAAACTTCCAGTTGGCTGGAGGGGAGGCGGTGGAGGGGGAAGGCTCAGTCTGGATTAGAGGCTCATTCTCTGTACCACCTGCAGATCCCCAT